CTCAATGCATCCAGAAATCCACCTCTGCCTGCAGTCTGATTGTTATTCTCAGCCTCTTAGTGAACCTCAGGCTATAGACCACAGCAAAGTGTAGACTGAACAGGGTGGGGTAGGAGGTTTCCCAACAGGGAAGGGAAATTGTTTCACCCCTGGGAAAAAGGTGCCTAGATAGTAAAGGTCTGCCTGAGAAAGATTTCCTCTGCAGTGTGGGTGAATGACCCAGCACATTAAATGGGGGTGGCTGTCTTTCAAGCTCTACTAGGGGTGTCGAACTCAATCAGAGAAGGGGCCAAAATCTAAAATCCAGCCTAAATCGCGGGCCGAATGGTTTACTGAACAGTCATAAACTGTCATTGTGATGGAAACGCAGCGGAGTGCAGTGATGACAGCGCGGTGCGGGCCACATTGCAAGGCCTGGCGGGACGGATTTGGCCCGCGGGCCTTGTGTTTGACACATGTGCTCTAACCCCAGAGTCCTCAACCATGAATTCTCCTCGCACAGCTCTAGTCCACTCTGCCCTTCCTATGCTGGAGCCCACGGTGAGCATGAAATTTTATGCTTTTTTTCCCCTTTAAAAGGGTGCCTGTATTTCCAGCCATCTCTCCCTGGCAAACAGCAACCCCACTGATTTTTTTACAACCACATGTTATGTGGGCACCATTCTCAGTTCTGGTGCTCTGGGCTGGAGAGTCCAGCTTGGGGTTTAGACCCCATATTTGTCAGTGGAAACCCCCCACAGCTGAGATATCCTTCTAGAACTTCAGCTGCTGTCCCTGGGAACCCAACCTGCTCTCTTTTGCCTCTGCATTTCTACCAGTTTCTATGTGGTCTCCACTTTCCATCTTTGGTTCTCTCCAGCTAGTCTTCAGTTGATTATTCAGGGTAGATTTACTATATTTTATTTGTAATTCCAGTTTGGTCCTAGGAGAGCATCAGTGTAACTTCCAGTTAACCCACTGCCATTTTGGAATTCTTCACACCACATTTTGTTTTGAATTCCACAAATTTTTATCTCAGTATCTTTTCATCTCATGTATCTTTTTTTGTTATATTTTTATTATTTATGTTTGTTTTTTCCCTTTTAAAAAAATCTTTACTTTTGAGATTATTATAGATGTCCTTCTCTCCCTCCCCCCCCCCCCCCATTACCTCCTCCACCTGGTACCCACCCCAGACCTTTGCTACCCTATTTTTTGTGTCAATAGCTAATGCATATAAGATATTTGTTTAATCCCTTCTGCCTCCCCCCACTCCCCTTCCCTCTGAGAATCCTCATTCTGTTCCATTTCCACGCCTATTATTCTATTTTATTCATCAGATTATTCTGTTCATTAGATTTATTATTCCTTTATTTTGATTTTTAGATTTAATTGTTGATAGGTATATATTTGTTGCCATTTTGTTGTTCATATTTTTATATCTTTTTCTTTTTCTTCCTTTTTCTAAAGAATACCCATCAACATTTCTTATATCATAATACTGATTTAGTAGTGATGAACTCCTTTAGCTTTTCCTTGTCTGTGAAGCTTTTTATCTGACCTTCAATTCTAAATGATAGCTTTGCTGGGCAGAGTAACCTTGGTTGTAGGTCCTTGCTATTCATCAACTTGAATATTTCTTGCCACTCTCTTCTGGCCTGCATAGTTTCTGTTGAGAAATCAGCTGATAATTGTAATTGTATGGGCACTCCCTTGTAGGTAACTAACTACTTTTCTCTTTCTGCTTTTAAGATTCTGTCTTTGTCTTTAGCCATTAGCTTTTTAATTATGATGTGTCTTGGTGTGGTCTTCTTTAGGTTCCTCTTGTTTGAGACTCTATGTGTTTCCTGTAATTGTAAATCTATTTCTTCCACCAAGCAGGGGAAGGTTTTCTGTCATTATTTCTTCAAATAGATTTTCAATATCTTGCTCTCTCTCTTCTTCTGGCACCCCCATGTGAATGTTGGTATGCTTGAAGTTGTCCCAGAGGCTCCTTACAGTATTTTCACACTTTTGAATTCTATTTTCTTTTTGCTCTTCTGATTGGGTGTTTTGTTGTTGTTGTTGTTGTTTTGCGTGTGTGTGTGTGTTCTTTTTTCAACAGGAAGTGCTAGGAACATATAGGTAAAATTGTATACTTAAATTAGTGCTCTGTAGGTAAAATTGTACACTTAACTTAGTGCTCTGTATTAGAGCACTAAGTTAAGTGTACAATTTTACCTATATATTCCAAAAATTCTAGTTTAGCACTTCTTAGTTGGGATTCAGGAATCTGTATTTTAACAACACCACCAGATGATTCTCATCCTGAGAGAAGTTTGGGAAACACTGTCTTAGATAATCACCAGGGTGGAGCAAATAGAAATGGTTGCCAGTCAGCCCTGAGACCAGGGAGATCCCAGAATAGGAACAATGATTTCTGCAAGTACCTCCAGGTGGGAGGAAGCCACTTCCGTGTTACTGCCTTGTTGCCAGACAATTCATTTCTTCCTTGGATGTGTCTGTGTCCCCCAGACCATTGCTCTGGTGCTGGAGCTCAGAGGAAGTGCGACTTTGTAAGTTCAGTTTGTGTGCCAGCCTTTAAGAGGAGCAGCTGGGTCTCCAGCAGCTTCTGTGTCACTGAGCCTCAATCCGCACTGGTTTTTACAGCTCATAGTTCTTACTGCCCATAGGAACTTCTTTTCACATCACTGGGACCCTGGGCTCAGGGTTTGGTGTGGGACTGGGACCCCTTGATCCTTTGGGTGGCCTCCACAGAGACATATCCCTCCAATTAAAAACAACACACATGAGTGCAGGACAAGTCCATTCTGCTCCTCTGCACCTCCTATAAGTCTCAGTGTGCTTCTTTACTTCTCTAGTTGTAAGACTTCCATTCAGCCAGCTTTCCAGTGGGTCTGAAGATTCTTCTATATTTTAGTTGTAATTTTGATGTGGTCATGGGAGGTGGCAAATACAGGCATTTATCTGTGCTGCCATCTTTCAAATCTATTTTTTTTAATTTTTATTTTTAAAGTTGTTGACAGTATTACAGATGTATATCCCATTTTCTCCCTTTTTGGCCCCCTCCACCCAACCCCACCCCACCCCATGTCTTCCCCATGTTGTCTCAAAGAGAATATATTTTTTCTTTTTACAGAAAGACTGAACTTCTCAGACTGTTCCCTCTCGCTGTGCCCTAAGGGTTATAGGTGGTTTATAACTCTTTCTCTATTGGTTACAGTTCTCTGTAACCTATGAGCAATAGGCCCCACTGGTCATCATATCCAGGTGATCTACAGGTGTCTCCTGGGGGCAGCCACAAAAATCAGGGTACCCAATGCTGGTACAAGTCCCTTCCAGATGGTGCTTGTGAGCTGGATCAAAGCAGAGAGAGAGCACAAAGATGGTACCCATCTGCTGGACCTAGGCAAATGAAACTAGAATCTTCTAAGAAGATGCTTATAGTTTGGTTTCTTCTTGTCTAGAATAATCAGTTTGGGTTTTGTTTTTTGTTTTTGTTTATTTGTTTTTGTTTTTTTTCTTCCCTTTAAATCTATTTTTAATTTTTTTTTTTATTGTTTGAAGTATTACAAATAGTGGTACATATGTCTCCTTTTTTTTTTTTTTTTTTTTTTTTTTTTTTTTTTTTTTACTCATTGACCTCCCCCGGGCCTCCTCCACCCCCCAGTACATGCCCTCACCTCCCCCCACCCCACACACACACCCTGGCCCCAGAGTCTTGTATCCATTGGTTATGCTTATATATATGCGTACAAGTCCTTCGGTTGATCTCTTACAGCGCCCCTCCCCCCCCAACCTCCCTTGCCTTCCCGCGCTGATGACGCCTTGCCATGCTAACAGCAGCTGTGTATCACTGCAGGTTGCCCAGGACCAAACCAGAGAGAGTCTGACCTGCGTTGCCCCCATGTGCCCACCATCCAGATATCATTGCTGGCATGTACACATAAGGAACTGTTTGACATTAAAACAGGGACTCAGAACTGTTGGACATTGAAATTGGGACTCAAACATTTTTTATTATTATTATGTTTATTTCTAGTCTGCAGAGGCAAGATTTTTTAAAGGAAAGAAATGGGGGGAAATAGATAAAGAGGCAAAGAAGCATTGAACAGACTGCCAAACTAGAATAACCAGTTTAAAAGTAGCCTCTAAAAGACTAGAAAGTCTAGATCAGGCTTTCTCAATGCCGGCACTATTGATACTTTGGGCCAGACAGTACTCTGTGCTTCCCTGTGCATTGGAGGTTTAGCAGAATTCTGGGCCTCTGCTCATTAGAAGCCTGAAGCACACCCTCTTTCCCTGTTTGTAACAGTCAAAAATCTCTCCAACACATTGTTTTATGTCTTTGGGAGGCCAAAATCACACCCAGTTTAGAATCTCTAACTTAGAGATATGTTAGTGTTGTAGTTAAGAGCACAGTTTTTACAGAATCATATATCAATCAAGAGTATTTTGCTTATTGGCTGCATGACCTTGGGCAAATCACTTCTCTTTTCTGAACCTCATTTTCTTCATCTGTCAATGAGGACAATGAGGCCTTGCTTAGGGTTGTTGTAAGGATTAAATGAGATCATGTGTATAAAACTCTCAATACATAGTAGAAATAAGAATGTGTTATTATTAACCTTTACTAATTAACAAAGATCACAAGTTTCTAGGAAATGTTGATTCAGAAATGAAGGTTTTTTTTTTTTTTTTAACAGTATCAGAACTTAATTTTTAATTGCCCTGACTGTCATAAGATAATTAAGCTTTTCCCTAGTAACTTCTCCCTTTTGCTAGTGGGCCTCACCAATTAAGAACCATAAAAGATGAGAGTCTTAAATATTTTTCTTAGAGACTCCATAGCCAGATCTGGAAAGGCAGGATACTGAGCTCAATACTCTGGAACCTGTGTAATCTATTTAGATATAACAATCTCTGAAAGTCTAGCTATGTGTAGGCACAGTCAACCCTCAATCCACCCCTTCTCTACAAGTCAAGTTTTCTAAGTATCAATGAGATGAGGTGAGTCTTACCGTAGAATTGCACCAGAGGCACCGGAAATCTTGAAGTCTTTGATTACTGCCACAGTTCTCATGACAAACTGCACATTGAGAACTAACAGATATATTTCCTTCTACCCACTGATGAGGCATAGTTTCCTAAAGGGCAAAAAGAGACAAGAAGTAGAATTTAGGATATAAGGAGAGAAAGAGTGAGCTGGAATAACATACTATTCCATGGAGGACATTAGGTAATTGCAAGGAAGTTCCTCCTGGTCCTGTCCTCCCCACTCCAATGCTAGTGAGCAAGGACAGGTAGTTGTGGGGGGCCTTAATCATTCTAGAATGTTTAGATCATGAGCCTGGGAAAGAAGCTTACTTGGATTGTCTGAAGACAGGAAGAAATCTTCCTTTCCCTATGTGTTCTGACTGAAGGGGTGGTAGAAAAGAGTGCCTGAGAGAATGGCTGGTACTTACTATTTCATCAGCAGGTATGAGGAGATCATCAGTGACGGACAAAGTATTCCACTTACAATCTTTGCTTGCTCTCAAAGCACATAATATGTGAGACTTCACTTTGCATACTGCGAAAAGGAGGAAGAAAAAGATGGATGTAAATCTGGTAATGAAGAGTTTAATTCCCTTCCCTAAGCTTCTCTGAAAGTTAGAACCTATATGCATCTAAATAGTCCTGATGTACTTTCATAGGCTAATTTTTCATATGATTCAACTCCTTTTTATTCTTACTGAATTGTAATTCTCTATTGTCTGATTTGAATGGAAATCAATAAGAATGAGGTGATTTATGTTTTTCCAACCCTTTTGACCATATTGTTTGATCCTCCCAGACCCAGCCCTCCATTTTGATTCATGAGAATTCCCTCTCATGCAAGATTCTTCCCATCTCCTTTACTCATTCTGTTCAGTGTCAGAGTTAAACTTACACTAGAGTCAGTGACATAGTGTGAGTCAGTGATACTAAAGTCACATGAGCTCTTTCACCTCTATCTCTATCTACTTTATTTTCTAAAGAAATCAGAAACACACCTTCACAGGTGATAACATTTCTAGATAAGGCAGGAATGCTCTCCCGGCAAACATTGCAGTGTTGGGTCCGAGGGCTGTGGCTAGAATACCAATAATGCATTCCAACAAGGTAAGGGTTGTTTTCTGCTGTTGGTATCTAAAATAAATCAGAGATAATGGAGAATTAATCACAGAGACAAATTAGGTAAGGCTAGAAAATCTGCTACTAAGGCTTCAATGCCCAGAGCATGTGAAGAGGAAGAATAAATGTTAGTCATTACCTAACAAATCTCTCACCTCTGTTCCCCTCTAAATACACACACACACACACACACACACACACACACACACACGCGCGCGCACGCACACATACATTTGTGTATAGAAACCTGATTGATTTTTGTATGTTGATTTTTTTAAATGAATTAGATTGTCCTAACCATTATTTTTATTGAATCGTCAGGTTTTCCTATGTATATGATCATGTCATTTGCAAATGGAAAGAATCTAACTTCTTCCTTTCTATTTGGGTGCTTTTATTTCTTTTTCTTGCTATTTTCTCAGGCTAAGATTTCTAGTTACTAGATTGAAAAGAAGTGGTTAAAGTAGGAATCCTTAACTTGTAACAGATCTTACAGGGCAAGCTTTCAGTTTCCCCTCATCTACATATATAAAAGGCTAAGCAACCATCTGACTGTCTGACCAGTAGCTATGATGCACACTGACCACAAGGGGGCAGATACTCAATGCAGGAGCTGCTGAGCTGTGGTGACTTGGCAGTGGCATTTCTCGGGTGACACACCCTGGAACCAGAGAGGGGGGAGCCTGATTCTGGGGTGTCACCCAAGAACCACCCTCTCCCAATCTGAGGCCCCTAGGGTCAGAGAGCTAGTTTTGGCCTGATCCCTACAGGCCAGGCAGAGGGACCCTATCTGCAGGAGGGACCCCACTTACTTCACAGATGTCCTTTGAGCCCTAGTGCCGCCCCAGGTACGGCAGGCCAGGGAGGGACGGCAGGGGTTTGCTCTAAGGCGTGTCAGTCTGGTCTCGCCCAGTCCCACTCCGCTGGCCACCTTCTAATTTCCTTTCAATGTGCATGAATCTGTGTACCGGGGCACTAGTTGATTATAATGCTAGCTATGGGCTTTTAAAAATGTTTTTATTGATTTTTTATAGAGAGGAAAGGGGAAGGATAGAAACAGAAACATTGATGAGAGAGAAACATCACCAATTGATCAGCTGCCTCTGCACACCACCTACTGGAGATTGAGCCCGCAACCTGTGCCCCAATCCAGAATCCAACCGGTGACCTCTTGGTTCCTGGGTTGAAACTCAATCACTGAGCCTCACTGCCCAGGCAGCTATGGGCTTTTTATATATGGCCTTTGTTGTATTGAAATAAGATTCTTTTATACCTATTTTGTTGAGGTTTAAATGATGGCTAGGTGTTGAACTTTGACAAATGCTTTTTCTGCATCTATTGAGTTGATCTTGTGGTTTTTCTTTCATTTTGTTAATGTGTTGTATCAGATTGATTTATCTATATTAAATCACTTTTGCATCACTGGAATAAGTCCCTCTTGGTCATTGTGTGTGACCCTTTTAATGTGCTTTTGAATTCAATTGGCTAGGATTTTATTAAGGATTTTTGCGTTTGTTCATAAGGGTTACTCTCTTTTAAAAAAATATATATATTTTATTGATTTTTTTTATAGAAAGGAAGAGAGAGGGATAGAGAGTTAGAAACATCGATGAAGGAGAAACATCAATCAGCTGCACACCCCCCTACTAGGGATGTGCCCGCAATCAAGGTACATGCCCTTAGGGTTACTTTCTTGTGGTTTTATTTTCTTATAGTGTCTTTGCCTGTTTTTTTTTGTTTGTTTGTTTTTTTGTTTTTTTTCTTAAGTAGGATTTATTGAACTGGATGGTCCCTTATACTGACATAATGCAACAAATCAAGCAAGCTTGAGTATACAAATCTATATATACTTTTTTCTAAAAACATATATATATTTTTTTCTCTTTAATTGTAGCCAAACTAAAATGCTATTTTGATAAAATAAAGTTCAAGGAAAATCATGGGGAAAACCCAGAAAGAATTAATTTGTGATTTGCTGTACTCTAACTAGAAAGAGGACTAAGGAAGTTACATGTTATAGAAACATAAATACTTCACAAATGATGTTTTTTAAAGTATCTGCCATGGCAAAAGGCACAGTCACAAAATATTTTAATAGGATCATTCTCTGTTAGAAATTCTCAGAAATGTAACACATTTTGAGTCATAATAGGAGACTACCACATTTGTATTTTTATCATGTTTTCTGATATTTAGTACACAGAGAGTGTGAAGTATAAAGAATTCCTTAGCTTCTCGGCCTTTTGGCTAAGATCAAGTGTAGTATAATATCCTTGCTCAGCTGGCTACATGTTGAGCTTTAACCTGCAGATCAGGAAGTCATGGATTTTGGGCTCAATCTCCAGTATGGGGGTGTGTAGGAGGCAGCTGATCAATGATAATCTCGTGCCATTAATGTTTCTATCTCTCTCTCCCCCTTTCTTCCTCTCTTGAAATCAATAAAAATTATATTTAAAAAAAGGATTTGTGCTAATTCTTTGAATGGATTGTTTCTTTCAATAAATTGAGTAGAATTCACCCATGAAGCTACCAGGTTCTGGACTTTTCTTTGTTGGGAGTTATTATTATTATTATTATTATTATTATTATTATTGATCCAATTTTTTTTATTTGCTATTGGTCTGTTCAGGCTTTATATTTTTTCCTGATTCTGTTTTAGTAGTTTGTATGTTTCTAAGAACTTATCCATTTCTTCTAGATTATGTAGTTTGTTCATAATAGTTCCTGATGATCCTTTTTGTTTCTGAGGCATCTGTTGTAATATTTCCTATTTCTGAGGCATCTGTTGTAATATTTCATCTTTCATTTCTGATTTTATTTATTTGAATCTTCTCTTTTATTCATAGACTAGCTAACGGTTTCTCAATTTTATTTTTTTTAAATCACCTCTTCATCTTTTTTACTTAATTTTTTTCTATTGATTTATTCTGCTCTAATTTTAATTATTTTCTTTCTTCTTCTGACTTTGGATTGTTTGTTGTGTTTCTAGTTACTTGAGGTGTAAGGTTAGGTTGTTTATTTGAGTTCTTTCTATTTTAATGGTATTGTTTATTGTTATAAACCTCCATTTTATAACTGCTTTTGCTGTATCCCTAGGTTTTGATATGCTGTGTTTTCATTTTTGTTTTTCTCAATATACTTTTAAAATTTCCTTTGGATTTCCTCTTTTACCCAAATGGTTGTTCAAGACTGAATTGTTTAGCTTCTATGTATTTGTGATTTATTTATTTATTTATTTATTTATTTATTTATTTGCTGTTATTGATTTCTATTTCATTACCTTATGGTCAGAAGAGATACTTGGAATGATATCCATGCTTTTAAAATCTGCTAAGGATTATTTTGTCACCTAACATATTATCTATACTGGAGTGTGCCCTTGAGAAGAATCTCCAGAAGAATATATCTTCTGCTATCGTTGGGTATAAATTTCTGTATATTTCAGTTAGGTCTATTTGGTCAATAGTGTTATTCAAGTCAGGTGTTTCTGTATATTGATTTTCTGTTTGCAGAAAATGTATCCTCTACTGTAAGTGGGGTAGTGAAGTCCCCTACTATTATTGTATTGCTGTCAAGTTCTGCCTTCAGATCTTTCATTATTTGTTTTATATATTTAGGTAGGTACTCTGATGTTACATGCATATATACTTATGATTGTATTGAATTGATCCTTTTATCATTATACTAGGGGTCCAGTGCACAAAATTTGTGCATGGGGGTGTGTGTTCCCTCAGCCCAGCCTGCACCCTCTCCAATTGGGGACCCCTTGGGAGATGTCTGACCACCAGTTTAGGCCTGATCCCTATGGACGTCCTTCTATTTGGGACTGCTGGCTTCTAACCACTCACCTCCCTGCCTGTCTGATACGCCCAACTGCCCTCCCCTGCTGGCCTGTTCTCGCCACCAAGTGCCCTGCCCTGCCAGCCTGGTTGCCCCCAACTGCCCTACAAGTCTGATCTCACTCCCAATTGCCCTCTCCTGGCAGCCCGATTGCCCTTAACGCCCTGCTGGCCTGATCTCACCCCCAACTTCTCTCCTCTGCCAGCCTTATCATCCCTAACTGCCTCTGCCTCAGCCTCCACCACCATGGCTTTATTTGTAAGGAAGTCAGATGTCCAGAAGATGGCTGGTCAACCTGGTCTAATTAGCATATTACCCTTTTATTATCAATAGTATAGATAGATTATATAGGATAGGATTGCTTAAATGGGGAGGGGGGTGCCTTTTTCAGGAGGAGATGCTCTTGGCAAATAGAAACATATAATCCCTATAACTGGACTGATAGCAGCCATGTGTATTATATTGCCAAACCAGTCATTAAAAATTGAACTGCTTTCTTATACCTTACACCAAACAGCTGTTGTCCTTAAAACTCCTCCGCAGCCCTCACCTTAGGTTCTGCCTTTGCAGTTCACCCAGGTTAGGTTTTGATTGGTTGGTTTCTATGCTAGTCAGCGTCAAAAGCTCCATCTCCTAGGCAGCCATTGGCTCCTGGCACTTCACTCAGACTTGGTTCTGATTGGTCAGTTTCTATCCCATTCAGCTTCTCCGGGCCTATCTCTGGGCCTGATCAAAGAGATGGGGCTTATCAGCAGTCCGAAGGAGGCCCTGAGAAAAACAGAGGCATGGCTGCTGATGAAGCTGGGAGAGAAAGAGAGAGGCAATGGCTGATCAACAGCAGCCACAGGCTGCGGATCAGACCATGCCTCTCTTTCTCTGCAGGCCTCTTTCTGGGCCTGGTCTGCAGCCCCCTAGGCAGTTAGTGCTGGGTCACCCCAGCAACCCAGCACTGACTTCCTGTGTTCAGTGGAGCCTTGATCATTATAGACCCTGGCTCTTTATATATATAAACTAAAGGCCTGGTGCATGAAATTCGTGCACTTGGAGGGGGTTGTTTAATTCAATTGGCCATTAGTTTATAGTCTCCTCTATGATCTTTTGGTATCCAGTTTATGGCTTAAGCCTGAGCCCTCTTGGAGTCCAGGAGCTCTTGGGGGATGTCTGGCTGATGCGGGGAACCTGCCTAAGCCATCAGTTGGGTATCCTTAGCGCTGCTATGGAAGCAGGAGAGGCTTCCACCACTGCCATTGTGCTCACCAGCCATGAGCCTAGCTTTTGACTAAGCAGAGCTCCCCCTGTGAGAGCACACTGACCACCAGAGGGAAAGCTCCTGTGTTGAGCATCTTCTCCCTGGTGATCAGTGTGCATCATAGTGAAGGGCTGTTCCACTATTTGGTCAATTTGCATATTAGCCTTTTATTATATAGGATAATGTCCTCCTCTGTCTCTAATGACAGTTTTAGAGTTATTGTCTATTTTGTCTGATATAAGTATAGCCATCTATACTTATTTGGTTACCATTTACATGAAATATATCTTTAATCCTTTACTTTCAGCCTATGCTGTTTAATTTTAAAGTGAGTCTCTTATAGACACCATATTTCTAGATTTTGTTTTTTACTTAGACTCTCAAGAGTTGCTGGAATTCTGCTCTCCTTTTCCCTTGTGGGAAGAGAACAGGCCAAGGGAATTACTATTGGCTTCAAGCTCTGCCAAACTAAAGGATGGGACTACGTAGGTAAATGGCTTACTATGACTTTCTATGTGGCGAGTCTGTCTCTATGCTCCATAGAGTTTCCGCAATTTCTTTATAGTATTCTGAAATTCTCAGAAGCATTCTAGTTGGCACATATTTGTTTATTTGTTGTTTTTGTAGGGAAGAGGCTAAGCTTTGAGATTTCTTAGTCTGCCATCTTGGTGATGTCAATATAAAAATTAATTTTCTATACAATATTTTAAAAAGTTGTTTAGTTTGCTTTAAATACTGCCAATTAACTCTGCCAGTGGTGGCTCAGTTGGTTGGAATGTCATCCTGTACACCAAATATGGCAAGTTGTATTCCCAGTCAAGGCGCATACCTAGGTTGCAGGTTCCATCCTCTTTGGGGCACATGTAGGAGGCTACTGATCAATATTTCTCATCTCTCTCTCTCTCTCTCTCTCTCTCTCTCTCTCTCTCTCTCTCTCAACAATTTGAAAATTTATAAAAAATAAATACATAAATAAATAAATGCTTCCAATGACATGGAGCTTTCTACCTCAAATGGCAGCTGATACCATTCTTTCAGCTCACACTGAATGTTAGAAAGTTATTCTACTAGGCCAGTGGTTGGCAAACTTACGAGCCTCATATGGCTCTCTTTGGCCCCTTGAGTTTTTAGCAAAGGCCAGCTTAGGAGTATCCTAAATAATTTAATAACAATGTACCTACCTATATAGTTTACGTTTAAAAAATTTGGTTCTCAAAAACAAATTTCAATCATTGTACTGTTGCTAATTGTACTGTTGATATTTGGCTCTGTTGACTAATGAGTTTGCCAACCACTGTACTAGGCCAAAGGTGAAGAAAATTTTTTTCTAAAATTTAGAACTTTAGGAACATTGAAAGGAGTATTTTGCAAGAGTCTTAGTTCCCCGTCTTTGGGGTAATTCAAGTAAAGGCTACATAACTTGATCTAAAGATGCTTTAGAGTCTTAAAATCTATAGTCTATTTCTAAGGTTCATTCCTGTTCCCATAGTTAATGGTTTTGTGACAATTAATTGTTAGAAAGAGCTAAACTTTTAATCTAGTTTTCCATGCAGCTCTATTTCTATTCCCCTCTTTTATTCTTTAAGTCTCCCAGGCTCAAACCGTTCATTTGCCTGTGACTTATTTCTCTCATTTACCTCTCATATGTTTCAGTTCTCCTCACTCCAACTTGGTATCTACTATTTGTCTTCCCTTTCTATCCTCATCCTGAGGCTTAACTTTGTCTTTCTTGCATTAATTTATAGTCTCCTGTATGATCTTTTGGTCTCCAGTTTATCCCTTGTCTAATCCAGCTTATATTTGTAAAGTATTCCTTTGATAAACTATCTCCCCTCTCTAATCCATCCTTAAACCGAACTTTGTTCATGTTGCAGTTCTTCCCTACTCTTTATCCTGACATTGATAATCTTTCATAATAAAGCTCAACTTACCTCTTCATACACATTTCTTAAACTCACTTTCCCAAACTCTTCTGGTAAAATAGAGTCCCCTTTCACTCTATTTCAAAAAGTTTCTGTTTTTCTATTACTCAGATTTTGCTTATGTCAATTCCTCTGCTCAGGACTTCCGCCTGTCCCTAACTAATCCCCTGTCACCAATAAAATCCTATTCATCTTTCAAGTTCAGTCACAAATTTTTCTTTTATAAACTCTTCCCAGAGTACTCCAGCCCATATTTATGTCTTTCTGCCTTTAACTCCCATATTACTTTAATGTCTGTTTTATTAATCTGACAGTCATTCACTGCCTTGTAACATCTCTGAAATTTGTTATTTATCTTGAGTACTGTCACTTAACTATTTCTTTGTGTATATTTTGTCTCCCACAACTACCTAAAAATATTACTGTGGCCTGGAGCAGCGACACATTTTTTTCCAACTCTCTATAGAACAGAACTGGGCACCTAGTTAGTAGGAACTCACTCCTTAATGTGTACTGACTAATTTCCAATAAGTTATCCAATTGCTTTGTAGTGACTTTAATAAACCGCTTAGTTAATTATTAATCTTTCTTTATAACTCACATCAGGCATTGGTTGTGACAGAAGATAGAATAGATCATTGGAGTTGAGCTTTATATGAGAGAAAGTATATTTGACTCTTAAGTCTTAAGCAAGATGAATTGCTGAGATGCTAGTGGTGAGACATTTTAGTTCCAGCTAAAAGTATTCCTTAATAGATTTAGGTCCCTAGAGCAGTTCTACAGAGTTTGTGATTACAGCCTGAAACTCAACTCTTTCAAAAGTGTAAACAGGCAGATTGTTATTTTTTTTCCTTTGTAGTTTGTGCAGGGTAGTCAACAACAAGGTGTTTAATTCAATTGAGCCAGAAATTACAGATAAGGGTTCTTATAGATTACTTTGGAAGTTTTTGCATTATCAGAATAATAATTAAAATTCAAAATATCCTATATGGCCTTTTTCACCAAATTGAAAATATGTGATTCATGAGAAGTGCTCCAGTTTGGATAGAGATAAACTGAGGGAAGGAAAGGGATTGGTCTACAGAAGGGAGGATGGGAGCAAGGAAGTCATAGTTTTTTTGTGGCTACCTCTAGTGCTGTACCATAGTGGCCTCATTGTGGGTGGGCAGGAGGGACAGGATGTGCTTCTCCATCAGGAATGGAAGAAGATAACAAAAAGAGTGAAATGCTGAGTCCTAAGTCACACAAAGACCATCTTCAGTTTCTAAGCAAAGAATTTCTCAATTGATCATATTCAATATGTCCTAGGAGAGGCCTTAATGATAATGCGGAGAGGTATGTAAGCCCCAGTTCAATGAACTTGCGATGTCTCATAGCCATTATTAGCACAATGTATAATTATGAAACTAAGTGGTCAAAAGCCTAGGAAATCTAGGGGAGTGAGGACAGATAGCTTTTCTCCATGGCATTGATTTTACTTCTAAAACCCATTATTACCAAGCCATAGACTGCACTGCTTTGTCCCAAATGCCTATAACAATATTCTACCCTTTGCTAGTTATTTAAGACATCATGATTTTTTAAGGGTATACTATTTGTTTTTCCATTTATCTCCAAGAGCTTCATAATAGATTACCCTCATTTATTCACTCAGCAAATATTTGTTGAGCTTCTGTATGTGCCAGACACTGTTCTAAGTAAACAAATGACAAAAATCCCTCCCCCTTTAAAACTCATGTAACTTCTAAATGTGGTAGGTCTGAAGAATAGTGGGCTGAAGGCATAGCCCAGAGTTTGAATGGTGACCATTTATGGCAGGGAGCAGTGGGGTTTGGTATTGCTACAGACAAAAAGAACCCTGCTAAGCTTTGAGTAGGACCACTCCTTACTCTTCCCTCTACATTTCTTTTCTGGAATATAATAATCATAAAGGCAGAATTATGTAGTGGTTAATGAGATAAGCTTTTCCACTGAGTAGTTACTTTATTTTGATCTACTTTTCCTTTTTGAGTCTGTTTCCTTAAGCTGTTACTGTAGTTACTTAGCAGACCCAAGTCAAGGCTACTGATTTCTAACATAAGAACATCTAAATTAGATTCTCACATACATCTTAAGTGCCTTATCCACTGACATATAGTGATATCTACATATCAAATAGATATGTACAGAGGAGTGATTCACTTGGACTCAGACCACATACTTTTCAAATAGTTTTGAATAGGTTTCCTAATGATGCTCGTCTATAATTCCTGACCACATGGTCTCTGCTTCCATCTTGTTATTTCCCTGTTTGAAAGATGGTTTAACTCAGTCAATTATGAGTTTATACTTCAGTGTTGTGTGGATTCTTGACTATTTCCTTACCTTACGAATTTCTCCCTGTTGAACAGTTTTTATGACATTAATCCATTCTTCCATGTCTTTCCGGTTGGGCGCAGCCAGGATAAGTTTTCGTTGTGGTGTGATAACCTAAACAAAAAGTCACATTATTAGCTGGTTCACACTCCACAAATTTGTGCCCAAACAGAGCCTCTGAATTCTTAAAGACCTAGACAGGTCTACCAAGCATGACCCAAGTGACTTTTTAAATACAAGTCAGGTGTTCCCAGAACCACTTGCAGCTCCCTATATCCCCACCCAAAATAATAGTAATGATAATAGTAACAAATAACACTTTAATGACATTTACTATGTTCTTGTATTGTTCTATTGCCATGTATGTATATTAGTTATTTCAATCTTCATTAAAACCCCATGATATAGGGATTCTCCCCACTTCATAGTCAGGAAAACAAAGGCAAAGGGAATTAAATGACTTGTCCAGGGCCCCCTAACAGGTTCAAGTGAGAATTGAAATCCAGATTCTTTGGTTCTGGAGCACATGCTTTCAAACTCCAAATGAGGTTGTCTGAACATCCTACTCATTACTGCTTTGTCTACTTAAAAATGGTAGAATGGGCCTTAGCTGGTTTGACTCAGTGGGTAGAGTGTAGGCCTGTGGACTGAAGGGTTCCAGGTTTCATTGCAGTCAAGGGCACATGCCCAGGTTGTGGGCTGGCTCTCCAGTAGGGGATATGTAGGAGGCAGCCAATCAATGAATTTCTCTCAACATTAATGTTTCCATCTCTCTCCCTCTTCCTTCCTCTCTGAAATCAATAACAAAATTAAAAAGATGGTTTAAGGGTATATGGTTCAGAAAGGTGTGCCTCTCTGTTTGGGAAGAGAGCAAGAATGGAGTGAGAAATCTAAAAATCTAGTTTATTTTTTTTCTTATAGTCAGGGACAACCTGAAGAGAACTTTACCATTGTATCCCTTAATCCTGCTTATTGCAAGAATCAAGGCAAGAATGAAAAATCCATGCTGAGGGTCTAACAGAGGTAGAGTATGGCCACGAATTGGTCTTTTCCCAGAGGGAATAAGGGAACATGGATAACAATAGCATCAGTCATTGCTTCAATGGCCGTACTTGCCATTACTACCAAACATCTTAGAACTAGCACTTTATTTTTCCTTCTGTGATAAATGGGAATAAGAACTAGTGGGAATTGTGATAATAACCACTCTTTTGGTCAAAACCCATTTTTGTATGGGGCTGATGGACATTGTCTCTGTATTTCAATTAGGCTAAGAGGCAACCTAGCCCTTGGGATTTCTTTGTAGAGTGGAGACCAAAAACATTAGCCTATATGCTCATCAGCCAAAGGTTAAGCTTTTGGGGATAGGTAAATAAAATCATTACCTTTACCCTGGGTAAATGTGATATAATGAGAGAAATGAGAGGAGGGTCTCTCTTATATCTAGACCCTACTCTCCTTTCAAAAGTAAATAGAATGCAGACCAGCCAAAGAAGCAGGATATTGGGCCTGTAGCTTTTTAGTCTAAGTATAACCTTCCACCTTCCTGAAGAGGAAACCCAGTCTCCATGATCCAACACAGAGGCTGGGAAAAGACAGTTCAGGGAGGAGATGGGTAGGAGAATACCTGAATCAATGGACTTGCTATTTTTCAGTGAGCTTTCTGATCTGAACTCACTTCAGTGCTCAAAGCCTTATGAAATTTCAGCAGTGCCAAATTCTTGAAATGCAGAAAATCCTCTGCTTTTTTTTTTTTTTTGAGGTATTCTCATTAGCAATCTGAGCATAGGGTAGTTTTCGCTTTGGATTTAGGCTCTTATCTTCTTCATCAAAGGAGAGTATGTCATATAGCTTGATTATCCTGATATTTTCTGTAACATATTAGCAGTCTCTTGAAAGCCTCCCAGTGATACTCAAATCATCTTCATTAGGAGGATTGATTTTTGTAATAGTCATTCCCCTATTCCCAAATCATCTCAGTTTTATCACAGATTGGTAATAGGGAATAGGGCCATCACTTTTTTCCTCCTATGGTGGAATGGTCAAAGTGTTTACATGAATGAGCTTTAGCACTTGTTTGCAATGCTACTTTAAGTGGATTTCTATATACATTTGGGATCAAAGAAGACTTGGGAGACCTGAACTCCAAAAAGGCAACAAGTAGGTGTGGCAAACTTTCTTCCCAGCTAGCTCCCACCCTGGGCCATTTAGTCATTCTCAGCCTTACTTACGCAAAAACTGTGGCAAAGGTTTCTACAGCTAGTTTCTGCCAAAGCAACATGAGACAGATCAACAGTTTCAAAGTGTGCAAACTGGAAAGATAAGAGGGAAAAGGAAAAAAGAACCATATGGTTAATGAGACAAAGATACACTAAAAAGTAAACACACACACACACACACACACACACACACACACACAAATAGGCGTTTTTGGGCAGTCATGATGTGATCATTGCTCTGGCTTGAGTGCTGGGATTTATTTAGCATCATGCTTTTTGTTGATAAAATGTGTGACAAATAAAAAACAAAGCATATTAAACCAAAACACAACTCTTCTCAGAACTTTGATGTGGATTTATAGGAAGGCCTGGGTAATTCAGAATTATTCAAAACTAAAGGTTTATGTTGGAGAAAATAATTTGATGAGGTCTAGCTAGGAGCCTAGTGGAGCAGATAGGAGTAGCACCAATTTTATCAGCCAGCAGCCTTTGTTGTTAGTCCCTTCTAGTTTTAAAGCTGTGTCTTGTTATACACTGGTTATAGTAGGTAATACTTAGCCAACAGCAGGAAGTCAGTAGTATGTATACAGAGGGCCTGGCTTCAGTGGTATGCAACCTGTGCAGTCATAAAAGACCTCATGTTCAGAAGGGCCTCACCCTTGGTTTAATGCTCTGCTGTTGCAGTCTTGAAATTCTTAATATGTTTATCATTTAACGAGTTTTATAAGTGAAACCCAGTGGGACAATGGGTCATGACCATGAGCAGAGGAGATATGCACAATTTGCATGTTCACCCCATATCTGTCACTTATTTGAATTCAGGATACCCATGATCATAGAATTCCAGTGGACTCAAGATGTGTGAGAATTCAGTGAGATTCAAAATAAGTATAAAATAAGTATGTTACTAGCTATGACTGAGTAGGGGATCTGACAGTCCTCAGAGACCACTTATTTGGTTGGAACTAGAACTCATTTCAAACATAGCAGTGGTATTCTAAGAAACAGGAACAACCAAGTAACCCTCTTATATTCTTTCTTGAATATGTTACTTCCCTGAATTAGCCAATCATTTATGTTGAAAGTTATAATATTGAAGGAAAGGAAAAGATAGGGAAACCCATAATTCATTTTCTTTTTAGAAAGTGTTGGTGGAATGTATAAGTGTCAAGATGTGAAATAAAAACAGTTGAGTTGCTTTTGTGTAGTTTTGTGTACTGGTAAGAACAAAATACATGTGTGTGTATGAACCACCATATGCAAACTATATAATTTTGATTGTTCTTCATGAGTTAAATACTTTCCTGTTTGCTTTTAAAACTGGCTTTGTACAATATACAAACAGATGGCAAAATTGCTCATTTAAATTTCTATTTTTTATTTACTTACAATGACATCTGACAAATAAAAGATACCCCGACAAGTCATTGCTTTATATTTTTGTATCTTTATTGGCATTTCTCTTTACATTTTAAATAAGAGGCCCGTATTTTTATTTTATATTGGGCTATACAAATTATGTAGTTGGTTCAGGGTAGAGAAGAGCTAACTGAGGAACTTATAAAGGGGGAGGGAAATGGGAAGGGGAGGGGAGAGAAAAGTGCCCCCCCCATTTGCCCCAAAAGTCCAAGTTAAAGGAAGACTAACTTCTGCCTCAATGTTTGCCAAGTGTCCTGATAACACATTTTCTGGCACCCATGCACTAACCCAATGGACAAGATTTTATACATACTAACACACACACACACACACACACACACACACACACACACACACACGTATGTATTCTCTTACCGCAGGATGATGTGCAAAGCAGAGCCTTTGTCCTCGAACCAGAAAATATCTGAGCTTCCATCTCTTGAAGGAGTTACAGCTCTTCAGCAGAGGTCCTTCCTTCAGTATTTTCTGAAAGATAGAAGCACAGAGTTGTTGAGTAATTAGATCAATTTGCAAGACTATATCACTTGTCCTCTAAGTTGAGAAGATCAGATAGTTGGAAGGCTCCATATCTTTTATACATCTGAGAAATGGCCTGAGGCCAGGAAAGAACTCAAGGAAGTTAATTAAATCAGAAATGCATTGGTTACCTTTGGATAACACATTCAGTATGATATAGGCTATAAGTTTCTTAGGATAGTGCAAAAGATCCATGGAGTACATCTCCATTGGTGGTAGGAGATGTGGAGAAGAGATATGATATTAACACATGATTATGAGAACAACATGCCTAAGGAAAAAAGTGGTAGGGAAATATATTGCATTAAGTAAAGGCAGACTTTCTTGATGTCTACAGGTTGTAGCTCCAGACAGGGCCTTCCTATCAACTCTTTTAGAGTGTTCCTTTTAGAATATTATGTTAGATCATATCCTTTTCCCTGCTCACAAACTTCCAATAGCTTCCCAATATTTTTAGAACCAAATCCAAAGACTTTATCATAGCTTTCAAAGGATTCATGGTCTGATGAGAGAAAAGAAAAGTTACTGCCTTCTAATTACTTTCTTTACATAATTTAGAGTCTGACCACTGATTTCTCAGTTACTTGTTGAATAGACTGATTCGAACCAAACATAGAATCTACTTACCACTTTTATCACTGTGCAAGTTTTCAGTTATATTTATAGATACAAACCAACACGCAAGACTGCTATTTGGGAAAAGTACTCACACCAACCAAGCTGGAACCAAACCTATGCTGAATGGATGAAGGACCAGACTTAGTTTAAGTAACATAATCAAGGCTGTGTCATGAATTCCATCTATCACTAAAATTAGAATCACTATTAAGTGGTTGTGGAATTATTTTGTTTGGCCCACCTAATATTTTTCAAAGTTTTAAATTAGTTGATACTATTTAAAAGATAGAACATTTCACATTAAAATTTAAGTTTCCTGATTCTTTAGAATATTCAGAATGTTTGGTAACCTTGGAGCTATGTTCTCAAGTGGCAACAATTTGTTGGAATGGAATAGCAGCTGTGCCTTTCAGATGGGGCACCTGACTCCAGCAGGCATTTGAGTTTGGGACCCCAACCTAAACAATCCTTTGCTCCTCCTCTTTTCCCACATATACATACATCTATTACACTTTATGTTCAATTCTCTAACCAACAGGGTAGTATGTACTAATGGACAGAACCTCTGTATGTCAATTGAAAAGTCAGTTCATGAGCAATCTGTGTTTACCTGAATCCTCTTGAGAACTTATGGGAGTTTCAAGATATTGTACCATTCTTGAGATGTTTATAAAAGTGATGGTGGCCCAGTGCACAAAATTCATGTACATTAAAAGGGGATTAATTAGATGAAATATTTTAATATTGCTATTTATCCTTTTTCTATAATAGAAGTGTTAGAGATAAAAGAAAATTAGTAAAATGTATATGAAAATCTTCCTCCTGTCAGAATCTGGGGTATGCCACAGGACCCAGAGTCAAGTCCCCACCCATCCACAGTGTCTAAAAATTGGGCAAGACCCAGACACTGTCAGCCCCACCCCCATTGGGCAAGATCCAGACCTGGTCAGCCCCACCCTTGTCAAGTCCCATTGGGTGGGGTAGGGGGGCGCAGCCTCAGGTCCCCCGTGAAGCCTCACTGGGTGGGGTGTGCAACCCGAGGTTCCCTGCCCCAGCCCAGCACCATGTAGCCTCAGGTCCCTGCTGATTGCTCATTAAGGCTTGTTACAGGAACTCTGCCTCCACTGTGGGTGCAGCCATCTTATGTTATGGAAAACTTGCCTCTGCTGTGGGTGCCACCATAGTTTTGTGATGGTGTGATGGTCAATTTGCATATTCCCTCTTTATTAGTTAGGATGACACCAAGGAATCAAGACAGAGAACAATAAGATCTTGTGGGAAGGGAAACAATGGCAAGGAGGGTCAGAAATTACATTTAAATTGTTGAAACTAAGTCCCCAATGAGAAAAGTCTTGTCTAAACATTGTGATTACATCATTCTCAACATCATTTATTATTCTATACTAAGTCTTTATAAAATCTAGGCAGTTATAAATATCCCTTTCTGATAAACACTTAAGTTCAAAATTTTAACTGCTCCAACTTTGTATAACTGGAGCCACATCCATTATTCCTGTCTTTTCCCTGAGTTATTCTACTATTAATTACTAAATGCTTCTATTGTTCTTATTCTATCAGATATAGTATCCAATGAAATAGCTCATTTTTACAACTTTTGGCTGGATATTTTCCCCTTCCCTCAATTTTCAGTTTAAAGTCTTTATCAACTTTAATGGCTTTCTTTACCCTTGCTGCCATATTAAGCGCTCTGTTCTCTTCAGGGGTAGGATGGTGGAGTGAGGTGGCAATGAGAAAACATGGAGGGAGATTTGTTCCTCAAGAATATTCCTAGTGCCGGAACCGGTTTGGCTCAGTGGATAGTGCGTCAGCCTGCGGACTGAAAGTTCCCAGGTTTGATTCCGGTCAAGGGCATGTGCCTTGGTTGTGGGCACATCCCGGTGGGGGTGTGTGCAAGAGGCGGCTGATCGATGATTCTCTCTCATTGATGTTTCTGACTCTCTATCCCTCTCTCTTCCTCTCTTAAAAAAAATCAACAAAATATATTTAAAAAAAAAAAGAATATTTCTAGAACCCTGGACCTTCCGGTCTCTTGAGAAAATTCCAAGGCACTGGTGATTTGAAATACTGAAATAAGTATAAATTAACGTCTTCTCCTAAGTTACTGCCTTCTATAAACCTTTACTAATGATCATTATTTAATTCCCCTTCTTGCTACTTAAGAAATATTATTTTTTCTACCCTTACTTGTTCCATGATAATTAATGATGTCCTGCTATTCATTCAAGGACACAGAAAAAATAATTATTAATCTGTTCATTTGAGGACACAGCAAATCATCAAAACCTTAAATTCTCATTCCATAAACCCAGTATTTGTCAAGTCAAGAAAAGAAAAGAAGGACTTTGTGATGCAATTATCATTGGACAGAGTGCCTCATTAATATTTTCTGAGCTGCAACTATGGACTCACCTTTTGCTAGGCCTTTTGAGATAGCTAAATAAGTTGCAGGCACATTTCCTGTCTCAAAGGTATGAATAGACGGAGTGGAGGAAGAGGGAGCAGTAATCCATGTAGACAAACACAATGTTAAGCTCAGAACCATTTGAAAGAGCCTTGGGGCTTCATGTATTATACATTGCCCTAAATGTTTACCTTCTGGTTCAGATGAGGGATTCCACCAGGATAGTAGCTATCCATTCATACACCCTGTCATTGGCTACACTAACCAAAGAACAATAATTTCTTCTCTGCTATGATACTAAATTGGTCACTTTGAATGAACTAGCTTTAAGTACAGGGCTGTCTGTTCCATGCTGATTGATAACATAATAGTCAACAAGATCTAGTAGGGGAACTGAAGAGCCCAAGCCAAATGGCTACCAAGTTTTAGGTGATTGTTATGGAATCCTGACAAAATGTTACCAGCTCATTCCTTTCTTAAGGAGAAGCTAGCAATCCAGGCTGAAATTTGTGTGAAATTTTATCATATTGAAATGTTAGCAACTAATTGAATTAAAAGAAGTTGTAAGACACCCCCCCCCAAAAAAAAAATAAACAACCCACATATTCATACCAAAGTGAGCCCACAGGCAACCATTTTGAAATTTCTAAATTATAACTACTATCACTTTCTCTAGAGGACAAAGTGAGTGAGTGGTGGGTATTCCTGGCATCAGAGGAGGTTGCAGTGTAAGAGCTCAGAGTTTTTGTGTGAAGAGCCTATACATTTGAGATATATACTGGGTGACCAGATTATTATGTATTATGATAATATATTTTTATAAAATTAGAGGCCTGGTGCATTAATTCATGCATAGGTGGGGTCTGGTCAGCCTGGCCAGGGGACATGGGCGGTTGGCCGGCCTGCTGATCAAACTCCTTGTCCAGAGGACAATTTGCATATTAGCCTTTTATTATATAGGATATACACTGAGTGCCAGATTATTATGCATTCAGAAATCATAATAATCTGGCCTCTCATTGTATATTACTAAATTGGGAACATATAAATGTTGATATAATTTATGTTAGAAGGCCATACAATTCTTTTAAAGAAGTTTTTTAAATTCTAAACACAGGCTCTATATCATACACTCAGAACTTCAACAACTATCCAAACCTGGGTTGGGAGAAGTTAAAGTTCCTTATCTTTTAAACTCTGTTCCCCTTTCAAGAGAAATGTACTAATCCAATCACTGTTTCTAAAGAAACCATTGTGTAAGCAAAAACTAAAAATCAATTAATGATCAATAAAATATGTGCATGCAAATCAACCTTTACCTGTCTGGGGCCAGTAAACTTAATAAGGATGTAAGACAAAAATTGGGAGACACAAACAAACAAGCACATCCTGTAAAAGAAGGAATTGGAAGGAAAGCCCTTGCCTGTTCCCTAAGAGTATTTGTACAATGCTTCCCAGTTCCTGGCCTCTTGCAGATAACATCATCTCATTACCCCCTCACCACAACCATGTAGAGTGTTACCTTGAATTTTCAGATGGTAAATCTGAAGCTTGGGAATTTTTTATTGCTTTACTTGAGGATTCACAATTACAGAATGCTGGTGGGCTCTGTGTTCTTTCCACTATTCTACCCATGACAAGAAAACTGGGAGTGCCTTATTAATACGTATATCACAGAATGAAAACACTATCCCCCCAAACTCTGTTGTGAAAGAGAAAACAATAGATTGCTAAGAATTAAAAGGTATTCTGTGAACAGCTCTGAATACAGAGACATGCCCTGCTATCTGAAAGTAGAGCATTTCCATGAAATCTGTGGGAAGTGGAAATGGCATAAAGTGAAGAAGCAATTATCATTAATTTATATGGAAAACTTTTTTAACATTCCCAGACCCCAAAAATAAACTAC